TCCAGGAAGGACTTAGCATTGGCGTAGTTCTTGCCTATAGCCGAGGCCTTCCACCCAAAGAAGGCTCCACTAGGATCGACCTGACGACCATCATAGTACAGTAGACCACCAACCAAGGACAACCCTTTCACCTGGTACAGTTGTGGACCCTCCGTCTCGTCCCAACCAGCAATCATCAATGATATGCCGAAGGGCCGGACACCACCAGATTGGGTGAACTCCTGAATAGATGAGTTATCTCGAGGCGATGAACAGTGCTCACACCTGCATGACATTGGCAACCTCTCTTGTGAGTTGTCGGACTGGGATCTCGTCCTCGTAGGTACACCAGTACTGTTGAGCCTGACGGAGGGACCATAATCTTTGCCAAGGGTGTCGTTCATATTTCCTTGTCATTTCATATAATAATAATCCTCCTTCCAGACGAATTCGTGAGAAAGGTATATACAGTTGGCTGAGAGTTTAATATGCATATGGATAGTAGCGACTAAAGGGATTGGCATATGCATATGTATAGTAGCGACTAAAGGGATTGGCATATGCATATGGATAGTAGCGACTAAAGGGATTGGCATATGCATATGGATAGTAGCGACTAAAGGGATTGGCATATGCATATGGATAGTAGCGACTAAAGGGATTGGCATATGCATATGGATAGTAGCGACTAAAGGGATTGGCATATGCATATGGATAGTAGCGACTAAAGGGATTGGCATATGCATATGGATAGTAGCGACTAAAGGGATTGGCATATGCATATGGATAGTAGCGACTAAAGGGATTGGCATATGCATATGGATAGTAGCTACTAAAGGGATTGGCATATGCATATGGATAGTAGCGACTAAAGGGATTGGCATATGCATATGGATAGTAGCGACTAAAGGGATTGGCATATGCATATGGATAGTAGCGACTAAAGGGATTGGCATATGCATATGGATAGTAGCGACTAAAGGGATTGGCATATGCATATGGATAGTAGCGACTAAAGGGATTGGCATATGCATATGGATAGTAGCGACTAAAGGGATTGGCATATGCATATGGATAGTAGCTACTAAAGGGATTGGCATATGCATATGGATAGTAGCGACTAAAGGGATTGGCATATGCATATGGATAGTAGCGACTAAAGGGATTGGCATATGCATATGGATAGTAGCGACTAAAGGGATGAGTACTACCTGCTTTCGGCCACGAGACAGTATGACTCTGAAGTCAGGAGGCATACCAGCGAAGACCTACCAGAGTGGAATACTCCTATACTCAGTGGCAAGGCCCTCCT